AAAAAAAAAAAAAAAAAAAAACACCAAAGGAAGCCGTTCTCAAGCATTCAAACTTATGATTTACCCTCCACTATCTTCACACCACGAAACAACCCGCACAAATTTACAAGAACTTGAGTTACTAATACTCTTTATTTTGTAAAGGTTCAAATCTCTCTTCCCCTTTCTCTTTCTCTCTCTCTCTCAAAAAAAAAAAAGAAAAAAAAATATCAGAATTATACCAATTTCAACCCACATATATTCCACAAGACACTCATTCCTAATTTTCTATATATAGTACATACTATATGATCGTTAACCAACAAAATTCTTTCTTAACACCGTAGCGAGATTCCCGGTCAAGCCAACCTACCTCCCTCGACCAAGTATTATTTTTTTATTTTTTTTCTTAGTTTAATTTATTTAAATGTAAGTTTATGAATTATCATAGTTATTATTACCCTACGTATGGCCTTGAAGCGTGGAGTACACGTATACACAAAATCAATCAGAAGTACTACAATAGCTTTAGAACTAGGATCTGTCTACCATACCCGAAAAAAAAAAGAAAAAAATCGATACCATACTATCGTTTCGGTACCAAAAAAATTCACAAAATTATTATAAAAGTGATAAAAATATTTATAATTGTAAATCAGTCATAAAAATTGTAAATTTTTTTATTACAAAATATTCATAAAAATAATAAAAATTAAAAATACGATACCCATTTATATATATATATATATATATATATATATATATATATATATATATATATATTGGGATAGTAGTCTTCTCCTTAAAATAATTGAGTGCAACGTAACACACGTTGGCAGTGGGTGTGGTGGTTGTCCTTTATGATTATTTCACCGACAATCAATTATTAGGTTATGTCATTCATTAAAAACAGAAAATTGTCATAACATTAACCAATTGTCTAAATGGATTTGACCGAGGGATTGAATTCTCTGTCCATTATCCTTCACATGTTTTCGAGAGTTTGAAGGTATTTTCATTGGTGAAGGGTTGAGCATAAAGTTTTTAGTTTTTATTTTTAATAGCGGAGGCCCCAAAAATATGGACTAGGAGAAAATATTTAATGAGCTCTCAATGTTATACAATATAATTAAATAGATTTGACTAAATAAAAGTTAAAATATTTGTAAATTTTAAATTTTTTTTTAATATATTAGATGTAAAATTACTAATTCAGTTTTTGCATTAATGTATTCCTTAATTAAAGTTAAATTTGGAGACCAAAATGTAATTAAATCTATCACAAATTAAAAATATAGAGAAAGAGAACCGACATTTATTAATGCAACAAAATTATTTTTTTTAAAAAAATAATGTCAGTAAGAGTTTCTAATAATATACTACTCTAACTCAATCTATTTTTAAGTCATTTTGTGTGTGTGTGTGTGTGTTTGTGTATTTAGGAAAATAATTAAGCAAAAAATTAGACCCAGATAAAAAGATATTGAATTTAAGTTAAGAAAAAATATAATTTATGAAAATTGGGTAATAAACAATTAATCAGCCAATTGATTTTTATTATGATAAATCAAAAGTATTCTGTGAGGAGATAAGTTATTTTTTTAGTATTTACATAAAAATAAGTAAATCTAAAAAATTAAAAGTAATACAAAAATAATCAATTGGTCGTGTCGTGTCAAAATTTATTTAGTATACACCTGTCCTACTTATAATTATATATAAATTAATATGTTTGTGCTATATTTAATTGGATTTGTATCAACTTTTGAATTGTGGGCCCGAAGAATTCCATCTATTTATTGTACATATTTATTAAGGCTAAACCAACTTAGTTATTCTAACGTAAATATGGAAGGATTTAATAATTATTTTGAAGAAAAGGTGAAATTTATTGGTGTTTTTTCTTAAATATATATTTTTTTGAAGAGCCAAATATTCTTATTTATTTGTGGGTTTTAGGTGGCGGCCTTAATAATCTATGCCTAAGTCTAGGACTGATAATTGAGTTAGGCAGTCGAATTCAAACAATTTTTAAAGTCGGTTTAGAGAAACAAACCTAAAAATTTTAACTCATTTATATGTAAAATAGTTGTTGATCTACTCGAATTCTACTATTTTTTAAATGAGTCGAGTTTGAATTTTTTTTTAAACTTGTTTAAAAAAATAAATTTAATAAACTCGACTTCAATTTACAAAACTCAGCTCAATCCCTAGTCCGCCGGGCCTTATTTTTAACCGTACCACTGGCGTGATTAAAAATATTCTAAATACACTTACTTTAAGCGATGCTCATATTTACCCAGAATGAAACTCGGTGTAATCTAAGTTTGATAATAATAAAAAAAAAGAAACCTCTGCCATAAGTGCTATCTCATACATGTTCACATCACGTGGGCCCTTGCCCTAGCTTGCATGACTATTCTCTCTCTATCTCCAACAGAGAGTCAATTTACTACTTGAGACTGGACATGAGTGAGACCCATTATGCCCAAAGAGTAAGAAGCAAGAACAACTTAGACTAAGCTCATAGTGTTACCAAAACAGTCAGATTCCGATCACTTTATGTGGGTTCACCGGCGATGTCCTTTCCCGGCGGCAGAAGAATCTTGTACTCGTCTCTGGTGGTGCTGTTGATAATCTCAGTCCTTCACATATGGGTCTTCAGTGACATCCAAGTAGGGGCCATACGGATATTATCAGAAGAAAGAGGGGCAGAAGAAAATAAAAGCCCAACCTTGAAGGCTAACAAAAATCAAAGTGACATCTCTGGAAAGTACTTCAGCGGAAGAGTTCTTGATCTGAATAGTACTCAAAAGGGTTTTCAAGAGAACAAAAGAGCAGTACCCAGTTGTCCAGATCCTCTCCACAACAAGTAGAATCAAACACTCTCTCTCTCTATTTATTTCTGATGAAATATTTTTGCTAGCTTTTATCCAAAATACCCACGTTTTTCTCAATATTTTGATGATAGTATTTTGATTTGTTTCGTAATTTTAGAGGGTAAACCGTGGGTATTTTGGTACTTCAATTATGTTTTAGTGAATGGAAGATCAAGAAATGCTACTATCATGATGTATATAGAAGTTGAGATTCTGAATTTATAGCCGTTATATTAGGACTTTTGTTGCTTGAATCTCTCAACTATATATTCTCTTTCTTCTACATCCTACTTTGTATTTTGTTTTCTTGTTTTATCTCTGTATGTTCAACAATTTTGTTGGTGATGAATCAAGAAAGAACAAAAGTTGAAGAAATGCATGTATACGCCTAGAGATTCATGGAGTTTTTTTGTTTTGTTTTGTTTTACCAAATTACGATTGTTTTGCAACTTTATATTGCTTATGTTGTTATTTACAACTTATTTTTTCACTCTATCGTAGTTTTTATGAATTCGTGGTTTAAACTCACACTTTTCAATATAAGAACGAGGGTAAAAACGCTTTCCTTGTGTTTTGAAAACATGTTTTACATTATAAAACGTGGATTCAAATCACAGTTTTCCTAGATTGAAGTAGAGAAAAAATATCCAAAACCACAATTATTTAGAAAAAAAGAGTCAAATTATTGTCTTTTGACCATATGATATTTTTTCCCCCCTGCATCAATGCAAAGACCTTTACTAGTTTTCTTTCACCATAAGAGCAATGTTCAGTTTGATTATCATGTCTTGGAATATGAAAACTTGCCGAGTTTAAGTAGATATCATTTCTACCTTTATGGGTGTGTTCAGAGTCTTCGGACACAGTTTGCATTTTTGGTATTGCCCCAGTAGTTTCCATTTTCACACAGTCAGTATATTTACTTTCAATTTGGCAATATGTATCTCATTTTGCCATTGCTAGTATGTATGTTTACATTGTTCATTTGTCTTTTCTAATTTATCTTCCTCCGAAGCTTCAACACAATTTATACAACATTCTATGTAATTATCTTTTTCTACTGCAGCAGACTATACGTTTGTTACGTTTGATTGACAGACAGCATAGGTAGTGTGATTGATGGACTTAAACAGTAATTTAGACTCACAGTGTCAGTTTCAATTTGAGCACCCATTTTCTTCATATTTATTTTTTCAGGCCAAAACATCCCGTTATGCAATTTATTTATTTATTTATTTTTTTGGGTTGGGGGGTTTTGGGGTTCGGGGAGAGAGAGAGAGAGAGAGAGAGAGAAGTTTTTGGATGGTGAGGGTAAGGAACTTATGCCCAACTCAATTTTTTTTTTCTAAAATTATTTATATATATTTGAAGTATTTTTTCAATATATTAAATTGTGTTCACTCTATTTTTTTTTATCAAAACTAGAAAAGGCATGATATATCCATGAAATTATTTATAATTTTAACATTTATTTTAGTAATTATTACCGACATGATAGAGAATATATTTTATTATGTAATCGAATGAATGATAAATAACTGAGTGATAATGTGATTGTGGATATCTACTATACTTGACAATATTAGTCTTTTAAGTTTGATAAACTTTTAAGAATTAAATAGGATATAATTAAATATAAATACATTATTTTATTTTTTATCAATTACAAGAAAAAAAATTAAGTTTGTTAAAATATAGAATGCCCACCCTGAAACAATTTTCTGCCTCCGCCCCTGATGGGGGTGGTGGTGGAGTTTGGATTTAAGCCACCACCAAGGTGGAGGTGGAGTTGGTGTGAACGTTGATTTGGTAATTTTTCATTCTACCCTTGATCAATTAATCAAGCAAAGGATAAATAACTCATTATGTGTAAAACCATTGATGATGATGATCAATTAAATCTTCGATTGGGATTATATTATTTAGTTCAATTTATTTTTTTTCCCTTTATCCTTATCGTTTTAATTTTTGTGGGTTAAATGTGAATATATGATCTTGGTGAGGGGATAAAAGGTAATTTGGAGTTTGGATACTTGTGTGGAAAGAAGGAAATGTTCAACAAGAAACAAAATTCCAACCTTAGTATAATAGGAAGACGACAGTAATTCCCATGAAACAGTTACAAATCGTCCATTTGACCATGAAGAGATCAGTGTAATCTGGAAAAGTTTATCATACTTACAGTAAACTCATTGTCCTGTCTACGTAAAAAGTGCATGCAGACAAAACCCTATCACTGTCGGGGGTATTTTAGACAATTTAACTTGGTATGGTATCTAAAAAAATTTGAGACAACTTACTAGTCAATTTACAAGGAAACGAGATCAAAATCACTTTCTCAATGAACTTTATTTTTTTTACGATAAATTATTCAACATTTTGAACCGCTCAAATTGAGTGTCCGATGGTCAAGATTGATCACTGGTTCATGACTCGGATGTCTCATCTAACGACTTTAGTTGTATGTAAGACCCAGAACCATAACCATCCAACGCTAAAGTGCCAAGACTTTTAGGGCATGGAAAAGTGCTATAAGCGTGTGTGCCCCTGATGACGACTAAATCATAATGGCAATAACATGTCATCTTAAAAAAGCATAGAATATATAAAAATGTATTTTTGAACTATCTCGTGTGTTTTAACTCCAAATGCCAATAATATGGTAAGAAAGGAATTGAGGAGAAAAAACAGTTCTATGCACTCCTATTTTTATTTAGAGATTGATATTCTCTCGTTTAAAAACCGTCATTCAAGTACTATTCTTTTCTACTAAAAAAGTCAGTTGAGAAAATCTGAACTTTTTTTTTTTTTTTGAAAGAATTTGGGAAACTCAAGCGACCATAATGAATTATAAGTTGACTTGTCTGAAACATATGATTCTTACATGGGAATTGTAATGTTGGTTGTGTTGGAATTTGGGTTGGGTTGAGTCTTGTTTTCTGGGGTTTGTTTGAATTTAAGTTTTGAGAGAAGTGAAGGGGAAAATGCAGAGAAACCAAGGTGAGAAGGGGCCACGATTAGTGCGGCGGAACAACTTAATAAAAGCTGAGGAGTTAGATTTACAGCCGTGTGTTTTGTCCGTTTCCAGTTTGGATTTGGAATCAAATTCTCTCTCTCTCTCTCTCTCTCTCTCCACATTATATGAATCTTAAGTCCACTCATTAATTAATTTGATAATTTATAATTTATACCCGTAAAATTTATATCTAAATTTTATTTGGTCTTTAAAATTTCAATTACAACAATTATATGCTTAAAATTTTATTAGTGTTTCGAACGAATTTAAAAGACTCGATTCAAATTTACAAAACTCTGGCTTGTTCACATGTAAAATATTCAGACTTTGCTCAGAATTGGCCCGACTTGTGTTCAACTAATTTTTTAAACAAGTCAAATTTAAACAATTTTTTAAACTCGTTCAAAAAAACGAGTTCAACAAGATTGAATTCAAACTTACAAAGTTCGACTCGATTCACAACCCTATTTGAACTTCAATTCAAACTTTAAAGATTTGGTTGCAGCAATTGACCTTAAACTCAAGTCACTTGTTCTATTTGGCTCCTTATTGTTCTCAGCCCAAGCAATAAAAATGGCCCAATATCTTCAGTTTTGTAATATGGGTGATTTGAAAGTCGGTATAATTTTTTAGATTTATTTGAGCAAAAATATAACCTAAAATCTTATTTGAGGTAAAGTGTATATTTTTTAAAAAATGACAATATTTTCATTTAGTAAATAGCTGATGGGTTGAATTCCTTCCATATATTTTGGGTACATATTTTCTCTAATGGAAGAAAAAATAGGAACATATTTTCTCTAACAATTTTTTTTTCCCTCTCTCTTCCTATTTTCTCTTACTCTATTTATATTAATATTACAACAACACGATTACATCAATTAGTTACATTAATCAGTTACAATTGTCCTATAATACACCAAACAACTACTATTGTGTTCTAATAAATCAAACAGTTACACAAAATAATTATAAAAAATTATGACATCAACCCTGTTATTCAATTTTTTACATAAAGTAAATAGTTTCACCGTTTAGTATCGTAACATCGTTATACCATCATGCTTTAACAATTCCATGAGACTGTAATTGTTACACCAATAAAAAAATTAATTACACCTATTAAAAAACAGTTACATCAATTAAAAAATAATCACAACTATTAAAAAAATAGTTACACCCATTAAAAAATAGTTACTTCCATTAGGAAAAAAAACAAAGAAGTTTTTTTTTTTCCCTATATCCCAACAACGAACAATACACAATATTTAACAAAACATCTTGGTCAATTTTTTTTTTTTTTGGGAGAAAAATTCAGTCTTTATTCACATATAATTTGTAGCATTTTAATCAAATCTCATTGCCAAAGAAAAAAGGTTTTGATCATTAATGCCCCTATTTTACCTCCCAGTATTATTGTTAATCTTTATAATTGTCAATGATGAATGCATAATTTAAGGAAGAGTGTTTAGGTAAAAAAAATTTAATTCATTTGAATTTTGTATCTAAACACAAAAAATTTTATAAAAATTGTGCTTAATTGAGTCAATAATTTATTTATATACTTTTGCTCAAATAAGTGTAAAAAATTACACGCACACCTAAAAAAACCCTTGTAATATGATGAGACTAAAGGGCCAAACAGCATTTGATTACCACGCTTCGAACTCTAAAGGCCCAAACTGGATCTCTCATAGTCCTTGAAATTGTAGGCCCAAAATTGATCTAGGACTTATGGGCCCAACAAACAGGCTCTAGTACAAAACGACCATTTTTTATCTTGGAGCTAAAGTACCATGTTATTTTTTTTGGGGCGGTGAAAAATCATCTTAGTCATGTATAATCGTAATGGACCCACCTATGCATGTCAACCACGAACACCAGAGAGAAGCAGCCAAGTTTGAAACGGCCACTGTCAGCATCAACTTCCATATCTGCCTTAAGTCTTTTCTGCCAACTTGTAAACAAGAGTGTCTATCAAAAAATTATTTTTTTTTTTAGATGTACCTCAATTTTTATCAATGAAAGCATGATATGTGTAAAATATTTTTTATTTTATTACTTTTAAGATTAAATAATTAATTTCGGTACCATAAAATCACCCTAATTGCTTTATCTTTTCTTCAAAGTTGAAGCGATTGCCCCTAAAATTACATGACTCTTTCCATGACCCTACTTAATTTCTTGTAGATTGAAATATTCAAAAAAAGACTGGGCCGTCATACACCAAGATGTTTTCCATTCGGTTTTAACTATGCTACATACATTATTTTTTTGCATCACCTCAAAGCGAGTCCCATTAAATTTATTAAATATTTAAGGATTAAAATCATGTCATATCAAGTGATATAGATAAAATGGCACACGAAGATGATGTATATATTATTATTGTTCTACTTTTTTGGTAACTTTTGGTTTAGCAAGGGTTGGGGCGGTGGCTTCTCTTTTCTCATTCACCTAGTATTAATAGTAAGTCAGGTCATCTCGAATGTCTAATTGGCCTTAATCATGTCGTGTTAAAACCCACGAAACATATGCACGGCTTATATAACTAGCAGGTCCGGCGGATTTATTTTGAATTTATTAAGACTAAATCAATCTCCTATAATTTCTTGTCGACTTTATATACATTCAATGCAGTCAGAAGCTGTCGCTTGTTGGTAATTAGTTATATGATCATGGTTCATCAAGTGTAAAAGCATCTAACTTGACATCGATCTTTCAGAAAAATCAAAGTTTCTGAATGGTATACAGCATACTGAGAACGACTAACTGTTCCAAATTCTTGACTAATATCATACAATTAATGAAAGACAGCTGCTGGAATATAGCATCAATATGTCTCCATTTCATAAGTGTACAAGCATTTTTATAGCATTCTTCCACAATTTGTATAAACACTCTTAGGAGGACTAACTAAGAGATCGAACTAGGAGCGATGGCAAGTAGTCATCTATTTTATTGTAGATTCGGGTTTTAGAATCAACAGTTTCAGACGTACAGCATCTTTTCACTTATCTCAGTCACATATTACTGTAGGCAAAAAACAGTTGATAATTATTTGGTAAGCAAAGGAAACCCTGATTCTGCAAAATTGTTTGCCCTCTTAACGAACCTCCCTTTCATTCTGGGCCTTTTTTCTGCATTCAATTTCCGAACCTCGTACCTTATTTTCTTCGAAAACAGTCTGGTACGCCTCTTCTCTCTGTACCTCGATACTCTTGCTTCTCTTTCACCACCCACCACCATTGCACTGTGTCCAGCTCCCAACATTCCTACATCTCCGTATGGGTGATGAAATGTCCCACAAGGACCCTGTAAATTTCACCATTGAAGCATTTTAAGGTCAATAGTCAATAGTCAATACTACCTCCTCCTTTTATAAATTTGTGAAGTTATTGAATGCCCATGTCCTATTGACATGTTGTGAATGTATAGTGTAGCTAAAAATCAATGAGATGACATGGATTTATATGATACCCATGAAATTATTATCTACTCCACGGAAAAACTGTTGTTCTGCAATATATTAGAATTATAGTAGGATAGGATTACACCTTATATACTTGCATATGTTGAAAACTCTAATCTCAATTCATTTTCGATACCCAATATACACTGGAACCTCCTTTGCTTGGCTTTGTTGCTCTAGCCACGCTTTTGCCTATGAGTTGTTTGATTCTTGAACTTGAAATGAAATCCACTCTTTTTAACCTGACATAGTTAGGAGTATCGAGGCTCTATATCAATTGGTACTCCTAGATATGCCCTCAGTGCCATACTGCCATGCTTAATCCAAAATAAAATTATCCCACAGATTTAATTAGAGAATCCCACGGGACCACCTATAAGGGTTGTTTTGTGTGAATTTAACATATCACATGATAGTACTATGTGGGGTATGTCACTAAAAAAATATTATGTATTCTTAACGAATGAGGGTTACTTATGACAATATTTTTTTGAAAAAAGTTAACTAGTGTATCCCGCTAAGTTGATTTTGTGGGTGTACACAACAAGTGGTAATGTCACTTGGTGTGTTAGTAGTGTGAATAATGTTGTGGAAACTTAAAAAATTGACCGAATGGTGTCATAGTAACATACATAGTTCAGTAGTATTTGTTGCGACGATAACTCTTGCTATTTTTTCATGAGTAAGCAATTGAAATCTAACAAATTGACTATGACAGTGATGTCCCAATTGTTTTACTCTATACCCATTCTAACTTTTGTCAAAATAATATTATTAGCACTTAAAAATTGAAATGAAATTTGGTGAATGATGTATCATGCATAACTAATGAACTTAAGTGAAATGGAAAGGACTTACCACGCAGTCCGGCCAACAGTTATTAGGGTCCACTTCCGGCCGTTCACCGGTGGTCCACGGTGACCTTTGATCGGCCCAGGCTGTTCGAACACCCTCATAATCAAGACTCAACAAAATCTTCTTCTTCATTTCCCTCACTTCACAATAATCTTCATCTTTCTTCACAATTATCCCGCCGACTCCCACCTTGTCGTCTTCCTCGTTTGTCGCCAGAGATTCATAGTCGAAGTTCAGTTCAAAAGGTTCTCTTTCCATGTCAATCTCCATATCAAACACGTTTGTCATGGCTTCTTCATCTTCAACCTTCACTTTTCCACTGCTTAAAGAACCCTCCATTGATTCTTCTTTGCAATCCAAAAGCCCTAACCCTTCCATATGAAACGATTCTTCATCCAAACCTTTTCCAAGCAAGCTTTCAACATCAGCTGCAAACTCTGCAAGTTCCATCTCAGACGGAAGAAACCCATGAAAACTATCCCCATCATGAACATAATCATGAAACAAAGTTTTTGATTCACCCCCCAAATCATTGTTAACAGTTGTTACAGCATCATTCGAACTCCCAGAAGTGCACATTTCTGCAACAAACGGATCGAATATCGGAACCCTATGAAGAAGCTGCTCTTCCTCCTCATTTTCTTCGTGAGAATTCTCATCTCCGCCAATCTCCGGCACTAAATGAAGTGGGTTTGGTATCGGATCGTCGGTTTTTGGTTTTCTGGAGCTACCATGACGTGGTGTTCGAGCTTTTCTGGTGAAACGATGGTGCCATGAAGGTGAGGAAGAGGAACTCTGCAGAGCAATTTCCTTCAAGGACTTGATCGACGCCGTTTTGAGACGAACCCTTTCGTGTCTACGAGCCAAAAGGTTGGCCGAATGGACCGAACCATCACAGGATTGACACAAGAAAGCATCGTCGGCGGCACAGAACCACCGAGCCCGCTTTCTAATACAATTATCACAGGCTCTAAACGTTTTGCCACCAACAACGTTTGCTAGTTTTTTGTCCGAAACCATCGACGCAATATGTATTTTTGATCTGAAACTATGGCCAAACAAAGAAAAGGTGGGATCAAAACTACAGGGTTTCAGGGTTTGCTGTTCATCATATGGAGAACTCAGAGCTTGAAAATGGATGAATTATTTGAGAGTTTGGGTGTGACCCACATAGAGCACTTTTACAGTCTGCTTAAGGGTTCAAGAGTCTTCTTTTGTGCACTTTTTGGGTCTTGTATGGGGAAAGGTTGTGCTTTTGGGACCATTGCCTTATCTGATCTTTGATTGGCAGGGCTTGTAAAGGTCATCCAAATGTCTGTCGTCTGATTGGCTATCTTTCTAATCAGAGGGATTTCAATGGGGCCTACTGTTGAGGTGGATGATGAGTTTTTGTGGATGATCTGTCTTTCTCTCACTCTTTTTCAGTCAATTTTTCCCCCACAAAATTTGAAGGAGACACTTTTGTTGGATTGTCTCTTTTTCCCACCAGAGCTGTCTGAAGTGTAGAACTCTTGTTGCAGTCCTCCCTCCCTCGGTCGAATCTATTATCAAACTATCAAACTTTTTGAACAAATATATTAAAATATTGTATTTTAAAATTTATTTATCAAATTATAATATTTTTTAAAAATAAATTCAATAATTCTGTTTTTATTTAAAAACGGATTTAACAATTCCATTTTTGTTAAAAAAGGAGATCAATGATTATGCTTTTAAATAAAAAACGTGGTGCACAATAATAACTTAAAACACGTTTAAAAAGTGGTTACTAACCACTGGTGCGAAGAAAATTTCCATCTCTCAGGGTCCTCACAAACAGCAGGGTGGTTTTGATCACAAGGCTGAGAGACAAAACCTGAGGAGGCCATAGACTCAAATTCAAGCCTCTTCATATAAAATGCCTTAGCTGGGTCCTCACGAGTATCATAAGTCTCCAACCAAATCCTCCTTCTTTGAAATGGATCGCGAATCTCTGCTGCCCATTTGCCCCATTACCGCTGTCTAACTCCCCTGTACATCGATGTAGAGGGTGTCGTCGTTTTGAACTTGGGTTTGAGTTTTTGCTCAAAACCTTCATCTCGTTCAGGGTTTTTTCGCTATTGTTGCTATCTTGACATGAACTCTCCGAATTAATTAATTATCCGAATTTTTCTCAAAGTTTTGGTGGTTTGAACAGAGTTTGCTCTGCTCTTTGATTTTTTACAGTGGTTACTTTGATTCAATGGTGGCGGTTTACGAGGCTCTGGCATTTTCTATTAATCTACTCAGAAAAAATCAGAAAAACTGTGTTTGGAAGAAAAGAAAAGAAAAACACAGTAGAAATGATATAGAGCAACAAATTCTCTCATATCAAGTAAGAGGCCCTCTTAAGAACAAAAAGAGATAGAAACATCTCTTTATGTGCTTGTGTGTACTTGCAGAAACTTATTGAGATGTTTTACAAAAAAAACCGTAAACAACTGTTTACAAAACACACTTTCCAAAAAATAAGTAAAAAACTTGTTTACAAAACACGTTTTTCTCATCTCATTGTTCCAAAATTTTTCCCCCTCCCCCTCAAAAGCGGAGTTGTTAAATCCGTTTTTTTAACAAAAGTAGAGTTGTTAAATTCGTTTTTTAATAAAAACGGAATTATTAAATCCGTTTTTAAAAAGTGTCGTAGTTTATTTTTTTGATCAAACCGTAGATTAGTCAATAAATTTAAAAGTACGATATTTTGATATATTTGTTTAAAAAATAACGGTAGTTTGGTAATAGATTCTCTCTCTATATATATTTCAATCTTTGGTAATTGCAAGCATCGAAAGCGTCAAAAAATCCTCCTATTGGTGCAGCATTAGAACTTGAGACCGTCACATCCATAGCGTATAAAGTTTGTTATGTTATGCAAATTTTATAAAAAGATTGAGACATGAGGCTATCACAAGCTTGGGTGACAATGGTGTTTCTTGAAATTAATGTGGTGTCGAAACAAGTCTACCTATTTTTTTTTTTTTGATACAAGTCTACCCATAGGTTATCACTAGGCATGCAAATTTCTTATGTTTTTTTTCCGAGTAATGTTATACTGACCAAATTTTGGGATCAAATTTGAAACCCAAATGATATGGCAGTTGCTTATTTGAAGTTTTTATTGGGGTCCAAATGATATGACATCAATCAAAGAAGCCCAAGTCAACCGTCATATCATTTGGACTCTAAATTTGGTCTCAAAATTTGATCAATCTATCATTACTATTTTTTCCCTATATATCGCTAGTTGTTAAGGAGCAGGGAAGTACGACCTTTGGAACTTGAATGCGAAATGACATATAATTCTATATTAATATGCTCCATCAGTGCACATAAATCATTATATATGAAATTAAAGCAAAATTAATGATAACTTGATCTAATGCTTTTGCAAGCTTAAATGTGCATTGACATAGAATTTGGAGACCAGACATTCTTCAGGTTAGATTAATTAGGTGCATGGTCAAGTGCTTTGATTGAGAGCGTTTGGCTGTGTTTTAGAACATATAGATTTTTATGACTTGGCTGTGGTTTGCTTTGAACAGATAGGAATTGATCATAATGGATAACTGTGATGTGGAGAGCTCATCCATACTTTGTAAATCTACCCTGAGGAAGAAAATCCGTGAAGGGTTTTAAGAGAGTTATTGCAGAAAGTTATTGCCCAAGTCATGGGCTTGAAAATGACATGATTTGTAGGCTCTCTCTCTCTCTCTCTCTCTCTCTCTCTCTCTCTCTCATATACATTGACTGAAAACGTCTGTCAGATAAGGTTAACAACATCTTAATCACCTGATAGATAATAAAGCTTGGAATTCAAAATTGAAAATTCTAAAGGAAAACTCTGTCCATTAAAGTCAAGCTAGGATAAGAAACAAGGAAGAGTTGATAATAAAAAGAATAAGAAACCTTGAAAAGTTCATATTTGATATGAGAAGTGAATGCACAGGCCCAGTCTATAGATTCAATGCAAATTAAAAGAGTTATAATCAACTAACCTTAGCTTAAATAGTCTATAACACCATTGACGTCCATATATAAAATCATTCATACTTCTTTGAATTTAGGCTCTTTCAACTTTAAATGTTATGAATATTGTCAAATTTAATTATTAATCAGTAAAATTAGTAAACTCTATAAGTGCGTTATTGTGAATTCTACTTAACGTTTTCCTCTTCCGTGAATTACAACTCTTTATATATATATATATATATATATATATATTTGTGAATTATTGCATTTATTCAAGTGTACTGTGAGGTCTAACTTAACTTAAATTAATAAAAATTATAATTATAATGTGTTCGAATGCTGACACAATGCACGGTCATAGGTACAGGTGTGGGGCCATGCTCATGCTCGACTGAGAGAGTATCTTTCAAAATGTACCTACCTTGGGTAAAAACATGCACACGTAATATTTATTGAGAAAAATCTTAGCATTACTCTTACTTATAATGCCACCCCTTTAATTTGCACTATTTTCAAGAGAGATTATGATTTTTTTAAAGGTACATTAATTATTGATAAAAAAAAAGGTACATCAATTTAAAAAATAGCCTTAAATGGAGCAATGTATTTTCCCTTTTCGCAATTACATCATCATAGTCCTAACCCGATCTCCATGTAGAGAACTTATTTTTTCTTGTTTTTCTCTCTCACGTGCTCTCATGCACACATACACAAAGATCACATATGTGTGCACATACACACAACGATCTTACTAAATTTATACATATATAGGAGTGTCTATGACTAGAGTTATTCAAGGGTCTTGTTACCCGATCAGAAAAAAATAGGCTTCAAATTCGATAGACTCAAAAGTTGGCCCGCTCTTGCCCGAACTCGAGCTCAAGCTAGAGTTCGAGCCTAATATCCTTAAAAAGAGGGCTTGATTTGCCTTTCAAATCCATTATTTCACCCAATAGTCCGTCCAAAAAAGCCCATCAAAACCTTGCCCAAGAGCTCACCTACCAAGCCTAGCCCGCCCACATAGCCAGTCCACTATTTATTTGAAAAAAAGTTATACTTTTAGACCATTAAATTTAAAATTTTGAAATAAATCTCTTAATTTCAAAATTTGAAGTTTTAAATATTTAGATATTATAAATAATATATATATATATATATATATATATATATATATTTTTCATGTATTAAGTATACAAGTTTTAAATGATAGAATAATACAAATGTTAGATAAATGAGTATGTGTCAACTTAGTTGTGATGTATTTATTTTATTGGATGTAGTTCATTCCCTAATTAAAAACAAAATTATTCATGATTTTATTTTTAACTCTACTTTTAATTCAAAAATATAATTTACATAAATATTAAATTATAAAAATATTTATTATTTTTAAATAAAATTGAATATAAAAAAATTTGTGAGAAGGCTCACCTAGAAGGTCTGACCCGCCCGATAGCTCACTTGGGTGAGGACTTAGGCCTATATTACCCAACTCTGGCTCAAAAAAATTTCACTAAGTCTAGTTCGGCCTGATCCATTGACGCCCCTAACATACACGAGCTCTCTTTCTCTCTATCTGTGTGTGCATGTGTCCAATGTACAGGTCATGAAGTAAAGTTCGTTACAACTATAGCAATTGAGGTGACATTCTGAAAAAAAAAAGCAGCATCTTATATACACCACATATTACTGACAAGTGGTGTGTACACTTAATAAAAAACTACAACACTATCTCGTGAGACACATAAGTTATCTTTTTAAAAAATTTCTAATAAATTGATAAATGACAGTCATTTGTTATCAATAATGCATAATATTTTATTAGTAACATGCACCTGCCATGTGGTATTATATGTACACTAACAAATTTCTCTACTTTCTATATCTCTTATCTTTCAAATGCCATGTCATAATCTCTCTCTCTCACACACAACACTACCAAAATTCCTTCTCCTTTTCCACCTTGCCCTAAGGAGTTTCTTTAACAATCTATCACTATTACAATGAAAAACAAAGCATCTATATTAGAACAAAGTACAAGACATAGAGAGAATTCAAAAATGACTCGTCGCCAAAATTTTTTAAGAGAATCAAAAATGACCAACTATACTAGATCCGATAATTTTTCCCCGTAAGAGCTGGAACCTATGAACGAACTCTAAAAATTATCCTAGTTACCACTGCATCAAGCAGCCCGTGGTTCATTGAAGAAAAACCATAAGCCCAACATTTAGCCCCAAATATTGGGCCCAAAATACAAAGGACAATATCGTCATAGAGCGACCCAATAGGCCAGTAGGGCTGCATTGCTCTTCGGTCATTGAACTCGTCAGAAACCAGATACTAAAAATATCGGAGACTCTCTCTCTCTCTGGAAGCTCTTTGTGCTTTAGAGGTATTTCTTATTCATCCAACTGTATGCATACGCAGACCTTCATAATCACATATATATTGCTAACGATCTGCAAGAAAACCCAAGTCGTTTCATGGCCGTACGAATTATTGGCGACCAACATTTTTTTTCTTTTTATTGAAAGGGAATTTGGTTGGTGATTGTTTTCTTGTTTATGATAATTTCATTCTTTATGTGACATTTGTTAAACATTTGTTATAAGTGTGATTATTTCTCTATCAATTCGGTTGTTTTGAGTTGGTTATTAAATTACATGATTTAGAAAAAAAAAATATATTCAAGAAAATTTTATAATTTCTTTGAGAATAAGCCTCTAAATTTGTCCCCGGGCCTTAGCTTTGATGGTAAAAGGTTTATAGTTGGATGGGTTTGGCATTCAAAGAGTTGCTGGCAACTGGGTTTAGCAATTTGGGATTACTTTTTAGGTTTTATTCATGGAGTTTTCCATACTAATTAAATTACTATGGTAATGGCGCATGGGGCTTTAAAACTTTCTGAACAAATAAACCATCAGACTTATTTGCAGCTCTCTACATGATATATTGTTGCTTGCGATGCACTTCAATGCCATATCATGTCTGTATGAAGAAATGTTTAGCGCTAAGGAGTTAAATGAGATTGATGAGAAAGCTGAGATCATGAATGCTGAGTACATCAGCTGAAGAAGAAAAGACCCACTAACAGGCAGATCAAAGGAAAACTAAAGTTCTTGAGACGTTAGAAGGTGCAAAATTAGTTGTGTCACTTATATTTGAATAAGTTGGAGGGTATTTTAGCTCTCAGAGGCACTTGATCATACATGGCCTCAACATTACTAGAAGGGGATACAGATAACATATATAACCATCCAAGTGATTAATCTATGCATCACAGTTTCCTGTAGAAAGGTTAAAAAGAAGAAAAAAAAAAAGAAACATGATGAAGGCAAGCATTGTTGAACTCAAAGTTAGCTACCAGAAGCACAAGTTAAGAGAGAATGGTAAAAAGTCCCTTGGAAAGGAAAAGGTGGCACCGAAGAAAGGAAAGAGCAAGATTGCTTCGCATTAGTAGTGAATGGGTGGTAGGTCTTCAATTCCTCACCAACAACTTTGATTTTCGGAACAGCCATCTCCTAACATTGGATTGAACTCAACGAATTGCGTTTTGCTAGTGCATGGAGGATCTGTTGAGAGTTTGTCTCGGTAGGGAACTTTACGATTTTTCAACCCTCTCTTTCAAATCCTTGCTTCTATGGGCCAAATCACTTTTCTCAGAAGTTTTCTCCTTGACGGGATTCAAAAAGGCGGAAGACTATGGTGGTTCAAGATCTGCTTCGAGAAGGTCTTCCCTAGCAGCGTTTTAGTGAAAAGCAATTATTGGTCTGATGATGGATGGTGATGTGTGTTATAAGTGGTCCAAGATGGTTGTTATAGACATCATAATTAGCATTTTGGGGCTAAAGAATGGAACTTTTAAGAGACTTGATTGCATTTTCTGTAGCTTATCCTCCACTAAACTGGTAAACATGGAACTTTACTAGATTGGATTGGGTGTTGAGTGTTCTATTGCTCATCCTCCATTGTTGGTATAAAGTATATTAAATTCTGAATTCTATGAATTTAATCATTGTAGAAGGACCATCTAGATGCTTAGACATTTAGTGACAATTCATTAAGGTCTGATGGTCACTGTTTGTACTTGTGATTGGCTATATGTACTTGTAAAGTAATGATTGATCTCCTTGTTGGTAGCATAATATTTTTGAACTACCAAACAATATATAGGATACCTAGCGATGTTGGTGATTTCCTATGATTTGGATGTCCATTTGATACTCCAAAGATGGTAGATCTAATATATCTCTAGTTGGGATTGCTGAGATTCCTTGTTGGTGTTAGTCTCTACTTTTGAAGGATCATAACTGGTCACTTATTAGTTTGGCAACCATGTGTTGTGCAATTCTCGTAATAGTTTGATGTAGTTGTCAATACAAAGTGGACTATTGTTGGTATTTTCCAAGTCTAAAACCATTTCAAAGGTAGAGGGACGATGATGTCTTGAGAGAATAACAGCCTTATCTTCCATTTTATTTCACGTACGACTACATTGCTCATATATCAAGATTTGTGCCACTTCTTTTGCCATAAAGATAGCTTTTAANAGAAGCACAAGTTAAGAGAGAATGGTAAAAAGTCCCTTGGAAAGGAAAAGGTGGCACCGAAGAAAGGAAAGAGCAAGATTGCTTCGCATTAGTAGTGAATGGGTGGTAGGTCTTCAATTCCTCACCAACAACTTTGATTTTCGGAACAGCCATCTCCTAACATTGGATTGAACTCAACGAATTGCGTTTTGCTAGTGCATGGAGGATCTGTTGAGAGTTTGTCTCGGTAGGGAACTTTACGATTTTTCAACCCTCTCTTTCAAATCCTTGCTTCTATGGGCCAAATCACTTTTCTCAGAAGTTTTCTCCTTGACGGGATTCAAAAAGGCGGAAGACTATGGTGGTTCAAGATCTGCTTCGAGAAGGTCTTCCCTAGCAGCGTTTTAGTGAAAAGCAATTATTGGTCTGATGATGGATGGTGATGTGTGTTATAAGTGGTCCAAGATGGTTGTTATAGACATCATAATTAGCATTTTGGGGCTAAAGAATGGAACTTTTAAGAGACTTGATTGCATTTTCTGTAGCTTATCCTCCACTAAACTGGTAAACATGGAACTTTACTAGATTGGATTGGGTGTTGAGTGTTCTATTGCTCATCCTCCATTGTTGGTATAAAGTATATTAAATTCTGAATTCTATGAATTTAATCATTGTAGAAGGACCATCTAGATGCTTAGACATTTAGTGACAATTCATTAAGGTCTGATGGTCACTGTTTGTACTTGTGATTGGCTATATGTACTTGTAAAGTAATGATTGATCTCCTTGTTGGTAGCATAATATTTTTGAACTACCAAACAATATATAGGATACCTAGCGATGTTGGTGATTTCCTATGATTTGGATGTCCATTTGATACTCCAAAGATGGTAGATCTAATATATCTCTAGTTGGGATTGCTGAGATTCCTTGTTGGTGTTAGTCTCTACTTTTGAAGGATCATAACTGGTCACTTATTAGTTTGGCAACCATGTGTTGTGCAATTCTCGTAATAGTTTGATGTAGTTGTCAATACAAAGTGGACTATTGTTGGTATTTTCCAAGTCTAAAACCATTTCAAAGGTAGAGGGACGATGATGTCTTGAGAGAATAACAGCCTTATCTTCCATTTTATTTCACGTACGACTACATTGCTCATATATCAAGATTTGTGCCACTTCTTTTGCCATAAAGATAGCTTTTAAACTAGTTGAAAGGGACCATGGTCACTGGAGGTTTTCAAATAAAATTTTCAGGTCATAGCAGCAACAATTAGTATGTTAGGAAATATGAGTTCTGTATTTGATCCTATGGTCAAATTTGCTTTTAAAGGGCTTTGGTAGTTTCAATCGTCCTACTGCTGAGTTTTCCAATTGAATTTATTTTTGGCACCATCTGTGGTCAGCTCTCTCTCACTCTCGATGATCAGTCAATCGATATTGTATGTTTTAGTGTTCTCATATTCATTTTCTAAATCTTTCCTAATTTGTTGACATTTATCAAACTATATTCCTGAACAAAAACTTGCACAAATTGACTCTTTGTTACTCTGCAATTTAACCACGGCAACTTTGATGCCAATCATAGTTTTTACATCCCTTGTGGTGGTGTTGGCCTCTTTTGTTTCTTCCATTTGTTGTTTCCTGTTCTGTGTGAAAACTTTGGGAGATAATCAGGGTCCTCTCTCATGCTAACCATACATAAGAAATTGATGTGGCAAACATAGTGGATTTTGAGTGTTGGAGCTGCCATGGGCATGGACATTGTGCTTTGGGAATTTGTGGTTCTCACTTCTCATATTGAGGAATGTATGTAATCTGTCAAGGTAGATTGGAGGCAAAAGATATCCAATTATCTTGTCTTAGATATGTAGATCTGGGCTGGATGAATGGATTACATCTTAGAAGTTCAGGGTCTTCATGTTAAATGTGGCTCTACCACTTTAGAGATTGAGTTCTTTCACGAAAGCCTTGTTACTTGAAGGTTATTGTGGAGACACTAGTATTTACCATTGAGTGTAAATAATGATTGTGGTAGTCTATTGATATGGAACAACCATTTCCTATGTACCATTTCTTAACTTAGAAGTGTGGAAATCTCTACGACTACATTCGATTGTTTTTTCAACATTGAAATATTTTAAGCATTTGTTCCTGGGCCGCACTTAGAATATATATAGGACATCGTGGGTTCGCTCATAGGTGCCTATGACTTTATCTTCTGTAGGATCTTGAGTATGTCAGGGAGAAATCGTATGCCTCGCCAGCCTGATAGATTCCGTGGTTTTCAAGATACTGCTGTGCCTATTTTTCACCGAGGACCAGGGCCCCTCCCTCCGCATCCCGCATTTCTGGAAGAGGAACTTGAACTCCAGCATAGAGATATTCAGAAGATTCTTGTTGAGAATAGGCATGTGGTTGATGAAAATGTAGCTCTCCAAAGGGAACTGAATGCTGTAAAAGATGAGATCCACAGATTGGGAGAAGTCATTCCCAAACTGCGTGCAGAAAAAGAGACTCAGACCAGGGAGTTAATTGAGAGAGGATTAAAGCTAGAGGCTGAGGATCGTGCTGCTAAGCCTTTGAGGACGGAGATCGTGCAGCTAAGAGCTGAAGCTCAGAAATTAAATGCTTTACGACAGGAATTGTCTGCTCAAGTTCAAACCCTAAGAAAGGACATCACTCGAGTGCAAGCTGATAATCAGCAAGTAGTTGCCATGAGGACTGATATTGATGGGATGCGCAAAGAGCTCATGGAAGCCAGGTTTGGATTTTAGTTTTTGAATCAATTTGTTTTCCACGAGTCAAGTTTTGTATCCATGTTTCTGCTTTTTTCATTTTGTCAATTCAGAAAAAGGGTGATACATAGTCATACCAGTACGGCAGTAAGAGATGAGTTGTCATATTAATTGTGGTTCTCAGAAAAAGCTTTGCTTGGTGCATTTTTTACAATGCACAACTTTTGTAGAAGAGTTTTTCAACTTGAGAAACAAGCAAATGAGGAGCAGGTGGGACAAAAGCAAGCAATGGAGAAAAATCTTGTTTCCATGGCTCGTGAAATAGAAAAGCTACGAGCTGAGCAACTGAATTCAGAGAGGAAAGTGCGGGGTCTTGGTAAATGATCTCTCTCTCTCGTTCTGTTTGCGTTTTCTTGTCTGTCTTGCCTGGCTGGAGTTCAAAACATCTGAACTTTGGAAAGCAAGTTGGTAATTGGAGACTTCTATTATGTAGGTGCTGGGGATTATGGAATGTTGAATGGAAGTCCTGCCGGTGATTATGGAATGTTGAATGGAAGCCCTGGACGGAGACATCCTGGCAAGGCATATAGTGATGTCTATGGTGGTGGCGCTTGGGCACCCTATGATAAGCGTGGCCCTCCCCGACGCTGATCCTTTCTAGAGATGTTGGGGCATTCGGAATTGCATGTCTAGATTTTCACCCATTTTACTGAAAAGTGGGCACAACATTGGTTTTATTGACATTATCGTAGCTGATGTGCAAGTTTATGTATTAAATGTGGTTTAACAGAGAACCAGCTTACAGATTAAAGGAATATTGCAGTTGCTTTAAGCAAATGATGTCATTTGTCCTCATCAAAATTAACTAGATTCTGATGTCTAGTGTTCTAACATCTAGTAGTTTGTTTCATGCTACTCACTTAAATTGAGATGGAAATTGTCTTGGAAATGAGCTTGTTTTGGTTATGTGCAAGTGTTTTATATGTTCCTGGATTTCAGCTGATTACTTGCTTTCTAACTTCGCTGTTCATCCCAGGCATCCTTGCACTCTTGCTTATTTACAGCTTCCCAATGTACACGGCTTGCATTTTCCGCCAGTAAGAGAATTGGCCCGTAATTTCTTGACCTTTCGGGAGGTTTTTCCTGTTCTAATAGATGGTTGGTAATAATCCAAGATCTCTATGGCAATTTTTATTTTTCCCGTAATTTCTGTGCAAAAAAGGTTGTAGGAGGCATCCATGGCTTGGCCTTCTAATGTTTTTCACCCATGCGGTGTTTAGCACCATAGCATACCAACAGTCTGTTTCTTGGGCGATGAATAGCTTATACAGTTACATTGATGTTGCTTGGGCAGAATGGATTTCGCAATTACATTAGCTAGGATGCACAATCCAATTTGTCCCACTGATTTGGAGTTGCTGGTTTTCCTGTGAGGATAGAGATGACTTTCGTGCTTTCAGCCCTAGGTCAGTCGGAATCACAAAGATTAATTAGTGTTGTGTTTGATGCATTAGAGAGGCACCCTGTTGCAGCATTGTTGCTATAATGCTCAACAGTGTTATAGAAACACTCGCAATCAGTGTGTCTGTGAGATGGTGTGAAACTTGCAGCCTGCAGCTATTGAGAATAGTGGACAGCTGATTTTAAGAAAACCTTGAACCATAGAGTTCATAGATTGAAAACAATGAGATTTATGAAAGGGTATTAGCAATTCTTGTGTAATTTGAAGTGTAACATCTAACGCGATTTGCATAAACCAACAAAACTCGTCAACTACTTGCAAACAGAATTTGGGTCATAAAATTTCTACGTGCGCTTTCTTTCAAAGCCTCCAGATAACAAACGCTAATCTGAATAAGGTTGGGAAAAAGGGCAAACCATATGCTCTATTTCTTTCTTTTTTTCTTCTTAAGGAATAAGAGTGCATGAACTACAATAAATGAACCCCACTACAAAGAGGGATAAAAGAAACTAGAATGGATGACAATGGGGGATCACACTACTAGCAGTAAAACAATCCAACTTTGATGTCAGGAACTTTCTTTTAGAACTTTTGAAAGGCCACGAATGGTTGAAGGTGTAGTTCTACAGCAGCCACCAATAAGTTTAGCACCTGCTTCGCGCCATCTTGTAGCAAACAACTGAAACTTCTTGTCATCAAAGCACTGCGAGGGCTGGTTTGATGATAATGACAGTAAAAAAGGCTGGTTAATTCACGTATCATGTGTAACGAGTGTCTCCAGGAGATTGGAAACCTTGTTTTTGAAAAGAGAAAAGTAATTTCGTTATAAAATGTTCCTTAAAATGCAGAAATTGTACTTATGACCCACCTCCCATCTCTTAGCTATGCCGTCCCATATCTCACCACTGTTGGGATAAACAATTATTGCCTTTCCAGTTAACTGGGGGACATGGAAAAAAAAATGCCTTCTAAATCACATTAAAATTTTCATTTTGGGGAATAGTAGCAGTTCTGTAAGAATTACCTGCTTGAATTTCTGGATGAGATTTTCAATAAAATGGGGTGGTGCGCAATTTATTCCAACTGCACTAACTTTGTTACTCTTGTTTATAATGTCGAGGCATTCCTGAAAGCTCTCTCCTGATGGGGCATTCTCGCCATCTACGGAACTGAAACAGATCCAAGATGGAATTTGGACATTCTCTTCTTCAAGCAACTCAATACAGGCCTGAAATTGAATACTCGAGTGAGATGTTATCAAGTTTCAGGTATCCTGATTCTGTCAATGCTCAAACTCAAAATCAGGTATCAGAAACTTAGCAGAATTGTTCAGTTCTACTACAATTATATGTTATATGATTAATGAATCTTGCCGTAGATGCTTTGTTCATTGCACATATGCTGTTGTTCAACCGGTCTGTCATCCTAAAAAGTCAGTCAGGCAAAACTATCAAACTACAGATTGAATGGACACCGACCCCCAGCGTTAAAATGTTGTCATGTGCCTTACTATTTGACATAGAAGCATGGGTGTCACCTATTATACTATGATTCTCCTAGTCAAACCTATTTTCTTTCCCTTCCCAGTTTGAATTAAGCTGAAAAACAAGACATATATTTGGTGGTGATTTCCCAATTCCTTAATTGTAGTCTGTTGAACTTTGTGAGGTGGTGTAAAAAATTGATGGAAGAGCATACCTGAGCTTCCAATTTATTGGGAATGGTCTCAAAAGCCAGCAAATCTGGACCTGCTTTAGTAAGAACTTGCAATCTGCGCCGATGAAAATCCTTCAGCATGTCCAAATTCACACGTGGTCCGTAATTCCCACTGGAAGCAAAAGAAATATAGGCTTTAGTCACAAGAAGTTATTATCAAATCTATAACTGTAGTAACTTGTGTAGCCATAGCATCATTTCCATTTTCGTTATAGATACTTGTATGATTTAATGTTCTCATTTTCTAGAAAGATTCATAGACAATTTCAACTGGCACCTGTACTCTGAGCCATCAGCAAGATAAGAACCATAGCTTCCAATGGATGCTGCAACCAAAGCCCTATTATAGCTGTGCCCAGGAGTCCTTCTAACGGCATCCCAGAACTTATCACGGGCCTCGACAGCCAATTTGACGCTCTTTTCTAGTAGTAACTCTGCTTCTTCAATAGACAGTCCCCTGGATAGAAATCCTGGAAGAGTGGCCTACAATCACAGAATCAAAATAAATCACATTTGCTCAGAACTCAAGGACACAAAGTTACGAACCTATATAACAGATCCTGTTCAGATTTCCAGCTTGTTAATGCATTTTTTGTTTAATGAATAGATCAACACAACAAAATCAGTTGCAATTGTTATACTATATTCTCCATCATCAGTAGGTATGGCTCCCTTCTCCTACTTCAAACGATACATAATTGACTTGGAGTCAATTGTTTTTCATACACCCTACTGGCACAAAATCCTTTTCACTACAACTTATGAGCTCTACATCATATAAGACTTGGATACTCACATTTGGTTGAGCGAGATTGTGATTGTCTTCACAAATATGATAAAAATATCCACAAATGTGATAAAAACCACACAAAAGTGATAATTTTTTTTTTTTTTTTGTGAGGAAGAAAAGTGGTAAAAATAGTTATCACAAATGTGATAAAAACACTCACAACAGTGATAAAAACACCCACAAAAGTTGTAAATCACCTTCAAAAGTGATAATTATTTTTGGTTGTAAAATGACACAGCAATTATAAAAATACCATTTTGTAAATTTTGGAAGTATGGTAGTGACTTTTTTTTGTCGGTGTGGTAGTCAAATCCTATCCATGAATATAATCTTCATGTTTTTAGATCATAGCCTACCTGACTGGCTAGAAGTGTTTAATAAACGAGTCCATACAGATCCAATTATACACGACTCTCAACCCAATTATATATAACTCTCAATGGGTTGGATGTAAGTTGAACAAATTTTGACCAATTTGAACATGATAGATAACATTGTTGTGTTACTAACAACAATAAAACACAGATTAAGGCTATAGAATCCAAATGAGCAGACCTGATAAGATGAAGTTACCAATATATCTGCACCAGCCTCTAGATACTCTAAATGAACCTACAAACATCAGCAATCACATTCATCAGGTTTCAATCTACTTATCATACATATATACGTGTTTACACGCAAACTCATTTCTGGAGAGAGCGACAGAGACCCGTTTGATGAGATCAGGATCTTTGATCAAACAAAGAGCGCTCCAAAGAGGGTCGTTAATGCAGGCCCCATGTTTCTCAAGCTGGGTGGCAAAACCACCGTCCACGACGGCACAACCACCCGCTTTCTCTATCAGATCTTCCAACAGTGCCGTCGCCCTCTGAATCCCCATTTCTGTCCTCCCCCCCCCCCCTCTCTCTAGTTATAAATTCAGCCCCGCTGTAATGGAGACATAAGGGAAGAATAGACGATACAAAGACGCGTAAAAGGGGGGGGGGGGGTGTTTATATGGGGCTTTAATGGCGCCGGTGACAATGGAGGAGAGTACGTGTATTTGCTGGCTTTAAGTCTTTCTTGTATATATGCAATGGGTGTGAATGGGGACGTCAAACGCCTTAAGTTCTTTCTTGCCTTACACCTAACCACTTTATGCACTTGGTTCGTTTTCCACACTCGCTACAATTTCACCTACCATGGACCTAATTTCCCCCTAGTAATTTACCATTCACTACTCGGTGTAATCCTTCAATATTAAATAAATAAGTAGACAAAGTTCAAATTGTACCTTATTAGGATCATCATTAACTCTCATGTAATTATTAAGCAAAGTTCAAATTATGGAATTGTCTTTTTGAGTTTATAGTAAGGCTCAAATCGAACATTTCACAGAAGATCCTTATGATAACTCCTAGTTGTCCATCTTTTTTTTTCTAAATAGAAAAAAATTAAATAAAAAAAAATAAATCACTAGATAAGGTGATCCCATTTTTTTTATATGAGACGGTTATTATCTTATATGAAAAAGTAATTATTTGAATGAGTAAGGCCTATATTTTTTTATTTGGTGAGTTATTACTGGATGGGTACACCGCATGACAATACTGATATAGTGATTACTTTATACTCAATATTTACTCCTTGATTTCAAACTCCCTTCAATATTTTTTATTTCTATTTTTTTTATGACAGATTATATGTCGTTAATGAAGAGGGATCTTCGTGTCGACAATATTTGATGAGAGCTAAAGTGGGCCTACTCTTAAAGATCCTTGGCATGTCCAGATGGGCCAATTACAAGATCAAGAGCCAAGAAGATCAAGGAAGCAATGCAAGGATTGGTGGGATGAAGCTAGCAAGAGCTCAACACTCAAGTTGGGCTTGAAAGAAGGAGAACCAATTTTGATCCACTTGATCCAAGCTTAGAGATAGGGGTTTTTGTTGTTAAGGCTTTCAATTTGTCTAAAGAATTTTTATTATTAGTTTAGAATAAGTGGGTTTGAGGATGCTTAGCCCACATATGTTTTATTTCTTAAGAACTAAGGTTTTCGTAGTTACTAGTGCTGCACTATTTACGCTACAGTAACCACGCACTATTCACTCTTTTTAGGGTCTAATTGTAAGGCATGCATGCCAAGTACTTTCCTTTTTTTATTTAGGTATGTGATCAGTCAATTAAAGGGCTGAATGTCTTTCTTTTTCTTCAAGAATTTTAGGAAAATAAGAGATATTTTTTTACCAACAAGTAAGAGATATTTCTTAAATAGGATAGCTATTTTAGGAAGTTTCCTAATCCTTGTAATGACCAGCCTATAAATAGGTGTTCTATCAATGAAATAAGGGAGACAATATAGAATACATTTTGATTGTGAGTTGAGTTGACTTTATACCTCTTGTTCTTGATTGAATTTTTGAACTTATCAAAGGTAAATCACAACATTTGTAGTGTTCCTCCTTGTAATTTGGGTTTTTGAGAAGGGTTCTTCAATGGGTCTAGATTTTAATATAATCTAGGTTCTTAAAACGAGTTCTCAACGGGTTTAGATTCTCCATCCATAAACCTGAATTTGACTTTCTTGGGTTGTATTTTTAATATTGTTGTTGGGTCTCAAAGTAAGACTATTGAGGTTCACATCAATATTGATGACAACACGATTAATAAACGAATCGAGTATGTATGAAATTAATAAAAAAAAATACACAATAGAATTCATTTATATATTAATTATATATGACACAAATTTAATATAATAAAAATTAATGAACAAATCAAATATAAATAAAATATTTTTTAACGCAAATTCATTAAAATCCGACCACGAAAGCACGGGTGAGGTGGTGTGGCCAGTGGCATGCATTTTTAGCCTGCCATGACGCAGTAGGCTGCCTTTTTTATAGGTGGCTGGCTAGATAGCATAATCCTAGGTAGGGTGTTCACTCTATTTTATGGATAGAAAATATTTTTTTTTATTTTTCTATCCGATACTTTATGGAAGAATTTTTTTTTATCTTACCTTACTCGACAGGTGTGATATTCCTACCCAATTTCCTATCCGATTAATCGGGTAGGAAGTCGGGTAAATATTTTTGTAAAAATTAAATTTTGAATCATTTTAACAATTTAATTAAATAATATACACCAATTTAACAACACAATAAATCAATTAACATTAAAATCTAAAACAACTACAACAAGAATTATAATAAAACACAAGAAAATATGAACATCAATCTACCACAATTGTTACATTAATACAATAACAATTAATTTAAGTTTAAACTTTAAATCATATGAAGTACATTAAAATTATAATTACTCCACTGTAGTAGTTCACCACAAATCATGTAACCAATCTGTTACTGTAGATGAATGTTTGCGATCAGACTTTCCAAGCCAGACCACACCACAAAGAGAGATAGAGAGAGAGAACTTGGGTGGGAAGTCTGGAACGATGGAGGAGCAGTGGAGTAACCGAGTGAGGTGTGAGACATAGACACTCTTGGGACTCGATAGATTAAGATTTTTTTAGTTTATATATATATATATATATATATATATATATATATATATATATTTTAAAAAATTATTGCGGGTAAAGTAGGGTAAGAATGTAGAAATGGATGACTATTCTGTATTCTTACTCGAAAATTGTCGAAAGACTAAAAATTATTCTGCATTTCTATCTGATTTTTATAAATAACCGTTCAATAAGATATGTTAGAGTCGGATAGGATAAGAACTTGCGGCCGATCAAAAATTTGAACACCCCTAAACCTAGGGCTGGCATGAGCTGATGGGTCAGCCGCTGCAAATCTTTACCAACTGCATTTGGTTTTTAATTCGAACATATTTGGTACACATATGAACTAAAGTTTCACTTTGAAATTTGGGCCAAATGGGTTTTGGAGCAAAATATAAGCTTGGCTTTAAAGAGATCTAGTGATTGAAGTGCACAAGAATAATTGGGCTTTGAAAGTAGTAGTTTTTTTTTTCAAGAGTCGGACGTGTTCAAGTTAATTTATGTGTACTTTAATTAATTTCTTCTCGGTTCGATTAAAGACATATCATCTACTTTGAAACTAAAGTATTTATGAAGAATAAATTCCTCGTGACTTGACATCAAAGGTTGCAAGGATTCAAATTTACAATTTATTTTATTATTACTTAAATCTAATTATATCAATAAATTAAGAATTCGAGCACCTTCCCAAATTCTTTCCAACGGAAACATAAAGAAGTACAACAAAGAGTTAAATCCAAAGCACATGATATCATTCTTTTATTTATTCAAAGGCAACAAAATCACCCACCACCTACTACAAACCAAACTACCACTTCCCACATACTTTCCACCCGCAAAATTACAAAAATGATGTAACTTTAATTTTCAACCGCCTCCCAACCAAAAACCAGCAACATCACCACAGTATATATATAGCTAGCAAGCATCAATTATGAGAGAGAGAGATGCCAGAATACTGTGTAACAGGGGGAACTGGGTTCATAGCGGCTTACCTGGTGAAGTCGCTGCTGGAAAAGGGACACACCGTACGGACCACCGTGAGAGATCCAGGTACTTGGGTAATTCTATTGCCTTAAATATACAAGTGTTCTCTATTTTTCATTGATATTATCAATCTCTCTCTCTGTTCATATAATTTATAAACAAAGCCTATGCAAAGAACTAATTGTGTTGTTGTTGCTACTACTTTCTGTGTTCAATTGAAGGATAGCCTCTGATTAACAAAAGAAGGGTTGAAAAGCTAGAGCAACCGCCTCTAAATCAAACCCATTGTACATTCTTTCAACCGATTCTGATAATTTTCAAGTAATCAAGATTTCACAAAACCACTCTTTTTTGATTGATAGTTAACTCTCTAATCTTGTCGAATAGGGGGGAAATAAGTTCATTTTCTACTCTCAAATAACAAGGGTACTGTAGGATCCTCAGGGGACCCTTATTGTCCTATACATAAGCTTGTAGAAGGTTATAATGGGAGAATTGATCCCTTGTTGCGGAGAAATAAGTGGCTCACAATGAATGTAAAGAAACATATTATATTTTATTTCAAAGTCCTCGAATAGCACTTCTTTCAATCTTGGATTGGGGATCACTTGTAGGAATAACATAATGTTGATCCATGTTCAACACGGCCAAGGAAGCATCGGTTTTAAGAAGAAAAAAGAAAAAAAAATGTCATAATGGGAAAATAATTGATATAAGTTATCAAGAAACATGCTATATTATATTAGTCCTTACTGCTAACATAGTCAATAATCCCAAGGCGCTTGTCTTTTTCTTGATTTCACCAGAAAATGCAGAAAAGGTTAGTTTCCTCTGGGAGCTGGATGGAGCTAAGGAGAGACTTAAGATTATGAAAGCTGATCTGTTGATGGAAGGAAGCTTTGATCAGGCCATACAAGGAGTTGATGGGGTTTTCCACACTGCATCTCCAGTGCTCGTGCCATACGACCACAACGTTCAGGCAAGACTAACATAGAACCCTTGTACATTTTTTTCTCTTTTCTCAATGGTCATTATTGGGAGAGTGGAAATTGTAACCTGGGCTATCCACATCTTCACATGGTGCAAAGTGAATTGGGATAGAACCACAGTTCTATAGAACCCTTGTACACAGATAACGATAATTGTGGGGTTAAATCATTTGATCGAACGAACTATTCAGTGCTCGATACTAAGTGAATCCCTTCTACCTACTTACCAGCTGGCCCTGCTTGTCAATTGCGATGACATTTCCGTACATTATCTGCTGGGACATTCAGAAGAATAGATCTAAGAGTACATTTGAAGCATTACTTCTAAGGAAATAGTGGGTAGTAATGTTGCAAAATGTTTTGGCCCTCGGAACAATTGCTTTTGTTTGTGAAAATCCCTTGCTAAATGGTCAAAATCAGCAGACTCAATTTTTGCTTTAGTTCAAAAAGGTTGTTTATTCCTAACTTCTTGACAGCATTCAAAATTAGATATTACTACTCTGCTAAAATTTCAGGCAACATTGATTGATCCATGCATAAAGGGCACCTTGAATGTGTTGAGCTCTTGCAAGAAAGCAAGCAGTGTGAAAAGGGTTGTGCTTACCTCATCCTGCTCTTGCATAAGATACCGTGATGATGTCAAAGAAGTTTCTCCCCTCAATGAATCCCATTGGAGTGATACAGAGTATTGTAAACGCTACAATGTAAAGGCACTTCCAGCTCTTTTAAGTTTCCGACAGTAACATAGATATGTATAGCAGATATATACCTTCATAAGTTTACCATTCAGCTAGTTTCATGAACAGTTAAAATTGGTTTGTGAGCTTATTGCTTTCATGCAGCTATGGTATGCATATGCAAAGACCATAGCAGAGAAAGAGGCATGGAGAGTTGCGGAAGAAAGTGGAATAGATCTAGTGGTTGTGAACCCATCTTTTGTAGTTGGCCCTTTGCTTGCACCCCAACCAACCAGTACACTGCTATTGATACTGGCCATGACCAAAGGTGATAGATTCAAGCTTATAAATATGATTTTCCAAGAAAATTTCATGGACAGAAAATCTCATGGTGTTTGCACATTATAATTTGTGGTGTTAGAGATTATAGGCAATATCATTGTATAGAGGGTTGCCCTTTCCACCAAATGGACAAGCTGCAAATTAAGTTGAAACTTGTAATAAAGAATTGTGCTTTTCTTACTAAGTGGCAAGGGTGCCCTCTGCATAGAGAAAATAAAACCAAAAGTCAGTACTAGGGTGCAACAGAACCTTAATTCAAAACCTCTTTAGAAAGTAACTAGAGCCATGTTACAACGGTCAATCTAGTTTTCTTACTTCTGCAACTATGTATCAGGACTAAAAGGAGAATACCCGAACACAACAGTAGGATTCGTGCACATAGATGATGTTGTAGCTGCACACGTGTTAGCAATGGAGGAAAGTAAGGCATCAGGCAGGCTTATATGTTCAAGCTCAGTAGCACATTGGTCAGAGATCATTGCAATGCTGCGGGCCAAATATCCACTCTATCCATATGAAGACAGGTAAGAGAAGCAAAGTTGTTTCTTTTTTTAACTTTTTTGACCTTCAATTACATTTCTCAGCTGATAAAGAACCAGTAACAGAATCGAATTTCAATGGAGATGTTAAAGTAGGCCCACAATTCGTTTCCCCTTCAATGAACGCTTGTAAGTACCTTGTTAATCCTTTGTAGGTGTAGCAGCCATGAAGGAGATAACAACCCACATTGCATGGACAGCAACAAGATTCTTCAGCTGGGGCTCCCTTCTCTAAAAACGCTTGATCAAATGTTTGATGACTGCATCAAGAGTTTCCAAGAGAAGGGATGTCTCTGAGGTCAACTTTGGCTCTGTTTTCTTGCATTGGTTTTCTTTCTTGACTTTATAAGGCTTTTTGCCTGTACCTCTGCCTGTTCCTTCAGCCAATTAGGCCTCTTTTATTTTGCAATACTAGAATATTTGAGACCAATTGAAAACAAAGATATCTGAGATTTAAGTGATTGTTCCCTCTATTGGAAAATGAAATATATGGAGTTCTATATTCTAATTGATATGTTTGCACCAACACTAGGCTAAAATTGTGTTGTGTGTGTATAGATGTAACTGTTTTAGAAGTGGACATAAAGGAAATCAACTATGTAAGAAAAAGTGCAAGAATGTCCATGCTTCATTCTTAATCACCTCAAGTATAAATGACTGGGTGTAGTAAGTTATGAGCAGGTATGAATACAGATAGTCAGCTATGATCGTCGTCTTTGGATTATTTTGACTCGTAAACGGGAGCAAAAGCATGGAATTATATGCTCCCGTGTTACTGGTTACCCAAAATTTGCTTCTACAGACAAAAATAAAAAAACCATGTACTACAGCACATTGATGTTTGGCTGCATGATTATCTTTCCACCATAAGGTAAATTGACGATTGGAGTGCAATTGGTGACTTCACAAGTTATTTATGTAGCATTATGTTAGATAAAATTGCCCATGTTGGGGTTAGAGGTTTAGAGTCTTCCTTATATTTACCTATGTGTTCGTAGTCTTGCCTAACCATTCAGCCAGAGATGCCTTTGTATGGTATAGTAAATTGTTTAGTTACTTGTATTGATTTGTCACAGAGTAGTTGGATACATTGCAATACATGGGCAGCCCCAACTTGAGAAGATGGGAATGAAGGTTTAGTGAGGAGGAAAGAAAAGATTATTTGTTAATGTCTCACTCTTATATCAAACCTTGGTACGAGCTATACATGATTGGTCCATGATGATTTTGGAAAGGTTAAGAATGGATGGTACCTACGACCAGACACAATTGTTGCAATACTTGTGAGGAAAGATTTCATTTCTCTTTTTTGATATCAAGACTCCTACTAATTCCTTAACTGTTATCATGATGCTCTATGTGATTACTGGATTGTTTGGCAATCTTCCTCCCACCCCCAAAAAAAAAAAAGAAAAAAAAAACATTGCACGCAGGAGAGAAGAGAATTGTTATGACCAAGAATGAATCATATAATAAATGCAGCGAAATTTAAAAAAATAAATATTAATTCCTTATTTCAAGTTCTATTCGTGTTTAAAACAAACTGAAATCCTAGACCTTTTGAAGCGTGCTTTTAACACTATTCAAGCTTTTTCAAAAATTTTGAATGTTCAAATCTGAATTTGATCTTTATCCGCAAGCCTTACAATTGTTTGGCCTCTATCGGTATTTACACAAATTGATAAACTTGAAGGATTTACATCACCATTGATAAACTAGTAGAAACTAGAGAGAGAATGATAGGTGAACTTTCTTGTACTAGTAAGAGAGAACAATTATCTCATATATCCACCTCCGGGTATTTATAGAGTTTTAGAAGACTTTAATCCTAGTTTGGGTCTAGTCATAATTACATATAACCTTTTTGTTAATCATTAATTATAATAAAATTTTTAATTAAGTTTTCACCCCAATTAACTCTTAATTGATTTTTTCTTATTTATCGTTTACTTTTTAATCAATTCTATTGTGTATGACCCTGTAGAATCTCAAATTAGAACTCTTTTATTTCTTTTTTTATGAAAAATAATTAATCTATTTATATTAATTTCATTCTTCGGACTTCTACAAATCATGAATGACACCTAATAGCATATCATGATCAACTTTCGAATAGCACAAAGGAGGTAAAGTATCCATTCAGTCTACCTTTACCATGTAATTTAATCCTTCTATCACACAATGCTCTAATTGAATTTCTTGGGTATGGAATGACCGTCAAACCCCTAATTTAATCTTATTTGTTCAATCTTAGAACTATAACTCCTAATGATCAATTAGAAACACTTTTTCTAATTATCATTTTGCCTTGGTCAAGGACTCCTTGAGTCATATTCTTGAAGATCACATACAACATTCTTCCTTTATTTACCAAGGGTGATAGATTTGACGTTATACACTCATAAATCTCCAAGCATGTTTAACAATGTCTAAGGGTTGCTCAAGAACATCTAAGCCCTAAAGCCATAAGTATTAATGATATTATTTTTATTTTTATTAATATTCTAAAATTTGAAATCATTATCAAATTTTATTTTGGATCATTTATGAGAATGAATAATTTTATTGGTGTTTTGTGCTTAAATGACAACAAAATTGAATTTGAGAGAAATAGATAATGTATTGGGTTTGTTTTGTTTTTGTATAATAGAGAGCAATATTGATGCTTATTATATTATTTTTTATAAGATAAAGTCAAAAAAAGATTGATGATATCAGACTTTCTTATTAATCTTTTTGACCTTTCAACAAATGTGATTGTGTGAAATGAGTTAGATTTTTAGACCCAAATTTTAAAGTTATTTTTATATTGATTTACTCTTTTTTTTGACCTATACTACATTATCAACCTTTCAAATTTGGGGCTTTATTTATATCTGGGGCCTAAAATCCATGTTTTTTTTCTTCGACTATTGAGACGACACTGACAATGTCCAACAATACATATACAAGTTCAATTGTTAGTATATGAATATATTGCATAGGAGTCCATGCACAAGACAATTATTGTGTCTCAAGTTTAAGGATTAGTAATAATTTTAAGATTTAACATTGACAGGTATGTAAAATTTTATATGAAAAATCATACGTTAGTCAATAGTCACAATTCAATGTACTTGTTCTCTAACAAACACTCACGCACCAGCTTTAGTGTCACTAAAGTAGTGACTTGGACGAGTTATCTCATATCAAATATGAACAAATATAGTGTAAACTAATCTATCCGGATTATATAATGCCCACATAATAATTCTATGACTAAAAACATTTGAGAGTTAAGTACTAAGAAATATAGAGAGTCTATATCCACAAGCAAAGCACAATGGCAAATTTTCACTGTCAACAAAAACAGATTACAGAAATAAAAAATAAACAAGAGAATAAAACCAGACATAGAATGTCTAAACTAGGGGCAATATACTCAAGAGAAATTAAGTGGTCAATAATGTATTTATAAACGCAAATAACCATATTTTCTAATACAATAGATTTTTTAATTTGTCTTTTAGCTGAAGTTGAATTTCAAAACACCCTCATTTTCAAACCAGATTTATACTAGGAGTGGAATATAATATAGCCACAACAAATCTCCAAATTGACTAGAGGAATATAATAGAGCTACAACAAATCTCCAAATTAACTCGTATTCCATCAAGATATCAAAACAAAAGCAAACGAACTAGTTACTTCTCCACAAATGGCATAAAGAGAACACAAATATTGTAAGCATCCATAACAATCTCCACCTTGAGTTGTGTGTCCACCGAGTAGTTAAAACAAAAGTAAACTTGTCCAACTGCCTTCTACACAATAGCTAATAAATTGAATCTCTGTCAATGATGATCACAAAGTCTTATCAAGGACTTTTGTCAACCCATTCCAACGAAACAATGATATATATATATATATATATATATATATATATATATATATATATATATATATATATATATATATA